GGCCTGCGGGTGAAGTGGCTCCGGCGGGCAGCGAGGAGGAGGCGAGCTGGGGCTGCCCCCGCTCTGCCGGGCTGGAGCCGGCCCCGGTCCCCGGCGGCGCTCCCGGTCCCTCCCCGGGCTCCGTTTCACGTCGTTCCTCAAAGAGACCGAGAGCGTGCGGCCTCTGGGTACGGGAGTGTTGCAGCTTGGTGACTGCCACTTGCCCTGTGGCCCCCGCGCTCACAGGTACTTTCATTGCAGAAGTTACGTTCTCTTCGCAAGCAGGAAATTTAAGTATAAATACTGTGCTGTGTCCCCAAGGCCGCAGGTAGCCGTAGCAGAGCTGGAGAGTTCTCAGACTTGCAAGAGACCTGCTGGGCTTTTGTCCCGAACGGGTACCTTTGACACAAGAATAGTCGAGAGGAGTGGGAGAACAGGCCTTTGCTGGGTGTTACCGCTGTCAAGAGGATAGTACTTCTCCTCTCTGGGCCTTTCTAGTGTTTGTTCATATGCTTTTTTCTTCATCTCTTCCCCTATCCTTTTTTATCTGACTTACTGATACCCAGTAGAGGTTATTGGGAGTTCTGTTGTTCGGGTTGGTTGTTTGGTTTTTGTTTGTTGGTTTTTTTCTCAAAATTTTCTTAAATTTAGATAAAATAAGGGAACAATGTGCAAAAGTTATGTTTTGATCCTAAATTATCCATTGGTACACGGCGCCATTTAGGCATACGTGAGTCATGGTGCTCTTTGAAATCAGCAGCAGAAAAGGATTTCCTTTCAAAACTGAGGAACTACTGTTTTTTGTTGTTAACATCAACTTGTTTATGCCATACAAAAATGTTAAGCAAAAGCCTGAAAGAGCAGATGCCTGCCTTTGTTCTCTGAAGATCACAAAAGTGGAGGACGCCTGACTTGCTGGTGAAGGACCTTGCCTGAGAGTGCAGTAAGACCTCGGCAATGCCTGTGCAGAGGAGGAGTGCTGCTGCTCTGTTCTGTTGTCAGGTGATAATATTTCTGTCTGTCCACGCCTTGACCGACCATTTCACAGGCATCCCTAAAATGAGATGAGTCTTTATCTTGGCGCAGTCTTCATCGGAGACCCTGCGCCAAATGGGCTGTTGCAGAGTCCAGCATATGCTGCGCATCCTCAGCGTCCATCAAAGAGAGCGCCGGCCTTGCAAACTTGAACCACGCTGTGCCCTAGGGAGGGCTGCGGATCTCTGGCCAACTTCAGCGTGAGGGACCCACGTCGTTTCCCAGACTGGTTGCAGCTTCTCTGGATGTTCTCACCCTCAGCAAGCCTGCAGATCTCTGGGTCTCAGCTTCGGGGCCCTTGGTCTGGGCTCCTGGCTCCTGACAGGCAGACAGGGCCAGGTTTTGGGTCCAAGGGGAGGGGAAGGACAAAGGGAGCATCCGAGTGCTTGAGAGGTGCTTATACACACCAGTAGTTTTATTGTCAGTGGGATCAGGCGGCAACCTGACAGCCCTGGAGTCTATATTAGAGCCTCT